TTTTACAATTTGTTCGGAGACTGATGATGGCAAACAATTCAGGAAAGCATCTCTCTGCCTGTCCCCAGTTAGCTTCTGGCTCCTTCTAGTGGCCAGTTGGCAAGGAAAGCGGAGAGGTTATTTACTCTTTGTGGACAGACACTGTAAACTACAGTTCTTGCATTAGTGCTTAGAGTGCTAAACTTTGTATTTTCATCCTTTAAAATGATGATATAGCTCTGTTGCTAGGCTAAATCTCATCACATAAAATGGGATGAGCATACACAGAGCATTGATCACAGACATCTTAGCAACATATATTGTTCATCCAGTCATTTTCCATTTCTTTTCTCTTTCACCTTTTTCACAACTATATAATAGGAAAGAAGCTTGCTGAATTTTAGAGGGTCATGTCAGTGGATTATATATATGAAAAGATCTGTTATACTCTTTTACATGTGCTTATGCAGCCATCGGTCACAATATGATACTTGTGCAGCAGTAAATTTGTAAATGGCAGCAGCTGATTGTACAATCTTGTAATGCTGCATTGTGTTATAAAAAGGCTGAAAAGTTTTCCCTTGAATCAAACGATGCTGCGCTGAGAATTTGTTCACATTTTATATCGGTGTAAAGAAGAGTTGTTGTTCTGTCCACATTGTTTGCAAGTCACCCGGTGGCGGTTGAGGAAGAGGTGGTATTGTTTTAAGCCACTTTGCACTTCACCAATCTTGGCCTGATCTGGTCTCCTAGTGCAGTTTAGAGAAGCCTTGAGACTGCTCTAAGTTGCACCAGTTGCCAATGGCTGTTACAGCAGCCAGTGATCTCAGGACATAGGGCCATATCAGATAAGCCCCTTTGATGGCATGCCCCCTGCACCATCTTCACAAAGCATAGGAGCTGCAATAGTGAGTCTCATTAGGATCCCTATATGGTTCTTCTGTGACTAGTTATGCTTCCTTTAGCACTACTTTATTCTGGGGGAGTGGTACAGAACTGCAGCCCAGGGTCTGGCCCATTGTATGCTATAAAACAGTTAACATTTAGAACAAAATAAAATTCCTTCCTTAAAGGTAAACTTGAAGGTATTCATGGAAGATACCATTTTGCTGTTGTTAGTCATAATATGAATGCTTCATGCCAAAGCTGATTAACCGGAAGTTGCTAAGAGCAATTACTGTTACTGTATAGTAACACTGTTAAAGTAGCGGAGTAGAATGGATTTGGGTGACTTAATTTAGAAACCATTTACTTCTGGCTGAAGTTTCTTATTATTCAATGGTAAAGATGGGAAGCTAAATTCCACCCAATGGCATGCAAGCCACTTGAGTCAATGGAATTACATCAGGGATGAATTTAGCCAAGCTGTGTTTATTTAAAACTTGGTAAAATGTAGCCAATAGCAGTATGTTTAGAAAATGTTCTGAGGAAATATTCCTGAATTTTCAGGCAGATGAACTAATAGTAGTTTCCAAATGCCATTAATAATTTAAATTATTCTATGGCTTTAGAATTCAGGAAGGAGCTAGGAAATGATAACTTCACAATTTGTCAGCTATATATGTTCTCTTTAATTCTGAGTAGAGCTGTCAAGTGATTAAAAAAATTGTGATTAATTGCATGATTAAAAAAATTG